AAATGGGGAGAAATTGAGGAAAATTTGGGATAATTTGGGATAATTACTTTGGGATAATTTGGGATAAATTCTGGGCTAATTTGGGATAAATTCCAGGATAATTTGGGATATTTAATTTGGGCTGATCTGAGATAATTTGGGGTAAATTCTGGGATCATCTGGGATGATTTGGGATAATTTGGGATAATTTGGGATATTTAATTTGGGCTGATCTGAGATAATTTGGGGTAAATTCTGGGATAATCTGGGATGATCTGGGATAATTTGGGATAATTAGTTTGGGATAATTTGGGATAATTAATTTGGGAAAATTTGGGATAAATTCCGGATGATTTGGGATAAATTCTGGGATAATTTGGGATAAATTCTGGGATAATTTGGGATCATTTGGGATAATTAATTTGGGCTGATTTGGATCCCTGCAGGTTCTCCCCGATGCCCTGAGCCCCCTCTCGTCCCCTCTCCTCACTCCCCGGCGGCCCCAGCACCGACGGCTCTGCTCCGACGGGGCCCTGCCCCCGCTGCAGGTGGGATGGGAAATTCTGGGAATATCCGGGAATATCTGGGAATGTATCCTGGGAATATCCTGGGAATATATCCTGGGAATATATCCTGGGAATTTCTGGGAATATCCAGGAATATCTGGGAATGTATCCTGGGAATGGTCTGGGAATGGTCTGGGAATATCCTGGGAATAGCTGGGAATTTCTGGGAATGTATCCTGGGAATATCTGGGAATGTATCCTGGGAATATCTGGGAATGTGTTGGGAATATATCCTGGGAATATCTGGGAAGGTATCCTGGGAATATCCTGGGAATGGCCGGGAATATCTAGGAATATCCGGGAATATATCCTGGGAATATCTGGGAATATACTCTGGGAATATCCTGGGAATATCTGGGAATGTGCTGGGAATATCCGGGAATATATCTTGGGAATGGCCAGGAATATCTAGGAATATCCGGGAATATATCCTGGGAATATCTGGGAATATATCCTGGGAATATCCAGGAATGTATCCTGGGAATGTGCTGGGAATATATCCTGGGAATGGCCGGGAGTATCTAGGAATATCCGGGAATATCCAGGAATATATCCTGGGAATGGCCGCGAATGTGCTGGGAATATTTGGGAATGGTCTGGGAATGTCCTGGGAATATCACGGGAATATTTTGGGATATCCCGGTAATGCCGGTGTGGATCCCAACCCTTTCCCATTCCCAATCCCATTTTCCTCTGGAATATTTTGGGATATCCCGGCAATCCCAGCAGGGATCCCAACCCTTTCCCTTTCCCATTCCCAATCCCATTTTTTCCCATCCAGGGCTCGGGGCGGCCCCAAATCATCGGCCCCGAGGAGGATTGTGAGCCCGGAGACTGCAACAACGAGGTGGGAATGCGAGAATTTGGGAATTTCGGGAATTTTGGGAATTTCAGGGAGTCCTGGGCCGAGCATTCCAGGATTTCTGGGATCATTCAGTGGGTTTGGGTGGGATTGATGGGATTTGGGATAGGATTCATGGAATGTAAGATCCTTCCATCCCAACCCATCCCAGTATTCCCTGTATGGGATTTTTGGGATCAGTTCCCCCCATCCCAGGTTTTTCCATGGATTCCCCACCCCACCATTTTTCCCGATGTAATTCCCATTTTTCCCGTTTTTTCCCCATTTTTCCAGGGCGATTCCATGTTCCAGGATCCCGCTGTAATTCCCACTTTTCCCGATGTAATTCCCATTTTTCCCACTGTAATTCCCGTTTTTTTTCCCGTTTTTCCAGAGCGATTCCGTGTTCCAGGATCTGCCCACGCTCAAATCCCGCCCGGCTCATTTGGGGGTTTTCCTGCGTTTCCTCTTCTCCCAGGCTGATCCCAGCCCTCTGGTGAGCAATTCCAGGGATTTTCCAGGAATTTCCGATCAAATTCCCAACCCCTGGCACCTCCCAGGCCATTCCCACCTTCCGGGAATATTTTTGGGAATAAGGATGGAGCAGAATTCCTGGAATTTCCTGTATTTTTCACTTTTCATTCCCAAATGTTCCTTTCTCAATCCCAAATTTCCTCTCTCATTCCCAAATTTTTCCCTCCCTCATTCCCAAATTTTCCCCTTCTCATTCCCAAATTTCCCCCTCCTCATTCCCAAATTTCCCCCTCCTCATTCCCAATTTCCCTCTCATTCCCAAATTTTCCCCTCCTTGTTCCAAATTTTCCCCTCCTCATTCCCCAATTTCCCTTCTTTATTCCCAAATTTCTCCTCCTCATTCCCCAATTTTTCCTTTCTCATTCCCGAATTTCCCGAATTTTTCCCGAATTTTTCCATCTCTAATTCCCCAAATTTCCCTCCTCATTCCCGAATTTTTCCGCAGCTTTTCCACCTCTGCGCCGACGTTTTCCAGCAGAGCAATCCCAAAGATTCCCGAAATTTGGGAAGGGACATTTGGAACATCTTCCTGGACAGGAACGCGGTGAGGGATGGGATTTTGGGAATTTTGGGAAAG